AGGAAATACTATCGTTTTTATTTAACAACACAGATTACACACCTATCATGTACGCAATACGATGATAGAAAAGTCAATTATTTTCATCAAAATCCGGCTATAAACAAAGTTTCAAAAACACTCCCCAAAACTACTCCATATTATTATAGTAATTATTTAATGAAGTAATTAGAGATCTGAAGACAATTATAATGGGCAATAATGATAATTAACAAACAAAATATTTAATTTTAATCGTGGATGCGCACTTCTGGGGAGACCCATACTAGAACGAAACGGCCATCCAGTGTTTCCAGGTTCCCCATGGTGGTCTAGCTTCAACTGACTTATCATTTCAATTTGTAAAATTTCTAAAATCTTCACAAACCCCTTCTGTTAATGATAATAGTTGGTAAACGTGAATTTAAAAAAATTTTTATTAGCTTTATTCAGCATTATATTTTTCGTACAATACAGAATTCTCAGCACAAAGTATCTCAACAAGTTTCCGTTTCTTACTTCTTGGTCGATCCTGACGATAAATATTAAGTGATTGTCAATTAAATGTTAGCGGTCTAGGAAATCGACATCAAAATAATGTACATTCTTTTTCCTGAATACTGCCAACAACCACGATATCTCTGACTAGGCCTTTTGTAACTTGTACACTTTTCAGAAACTCAGTAGAAGTTTGAAGACTAAGCTGATAATATTCTGTAAAAACTGGGAGAAAAGAAGCAAAGTATTCAATATTAATGAATAATGGCTTATTTCAAATTTCTCATTGATAATAATAAAAATTAAAATTGTAATGACAAGATTAAAAGCGAGTTCATGTTTCCGTCCAGTAAAATATTTTATCTTTAATTCAATGTAATATTTATATATGGTATTCATTTAGTATCACAATTTTTGTATCGATTTGGTGTCCTATTCACTCAGTGTAGCATTCACTATTCCTTGTATGAATTCCGTTGTAATATTTGCTTGGTATAATATTCGGTTGCATAATTCTAATGTAAAATCAAGTCATATTCCTATTACTTCACTTATGTACAGTATTCGATGATCAGTAATCGAACCCCTGAAAAATTTGTACGTATATGAGTGTATTCAGTTAATAAATTGTTGTCATAATTTTGGATACGAATGAAGCCTTCAAATGACATCAGTTTTTGTCCTCTCTCATGTGTTTTCCAACTCTCAGGTTCTCTCCTTTTCAAAGTCCTATTTTGCACAGTTGTAGAAAAATCACTTCATCATCCAGTTATTCTATAAATCTTAGTGATTTTAAGCAACTATCTAGAATAAGATATGAGAACAGTTAAAGGCGATAAAGAGCATCATTACTTCAGTCGATAAACATTAATTCTTCCCAAGTGTAATTTCATTCACAATATTTTTCTTTTATTAATTTTTAATTAGATGGTTATCAATAAAATGGAAGTTCAGTGTAAATGTCATGGTGTAAGTGGATCATGTGAGATGCGTACATGCTGGAGATCGCTACCGAAATTTCGACATTTAGGCGCACAACTACAGGAAAGATTTCATGAAGCTATACAAGTCGCTTATATGCAAAACCGTTTGGTTTCAATGAAAGCTTTAGAACAGTTAAATAAAGAATCAAACGGAAACGCGCTTTTACTTTCGCACCCCGCTTTATTATCATCGTCAGTATCTGGAGCATCATCATCTTCTGGAGCAGCAATGTCATCACGAGTTAATCGAAATACCTTAGATTCGTTAACTAGTTCAACATCACTATCTCCATCATCTTTACCATCACCAACAGAAAATGATTTAATTTATATAAGTGAATCACCAACATTTTGTCATCATGACCCGCGGTACGGCAGTATCGGTACATATGGACGTCAATGTGACGAAAATTCCCAAGGTTTAAATAGTTGTCATTATTTATGCTGTGGTCGAGGATTTAAACGGCAAACATTTGTTCAACAGGAAAGATGTGATTGTAAATTTCAATGGTGCTGTAAAGTTGTCTGTAAGACATGCCGTAAAACAGTGGTCATATCCACATGTAATTAATAACTATGAATATGCACATATAAATGCATCATTTTACGGTTTAAAATCATTTTATGTGTTTGTTTTCACTTTCGTACACTAAATTCCCTACCTCTATGATTCTCTTCACATCTATTCCAAAAATGCTTTTCTCCCATTCTTGTATTACAAAAATGTCTGTATTGAAATTGGATCCATTGCTAATAGTGACAAAATAGCAATCACAGTCATCATGATACTATTAAAATGCCTAAACCCAACAGGAGAGATTACAATCAATTGTGACATGTTGAAAACAAATAAAAAACTCATCAAGTTGTTGGTATTTTACTCCATGAAAGAAATTAGAAGACTATCATGAATAATCAGAAATGAACTTTTTTTAGTGAGTAGTACAGAAAACTGAAAAAGACCAAAATAAACAAATGAATATACATAATTTACTGTTTTTCTCAATTCATTCTTTTCTTGTTCTCTGTTTTTGTTGTAAATGTTTATTTTCTTAATATACTAACTATAACATGTGTATATTCTATTTATAGTCACTCATTCACCAAATCAATCAGTTAATCACAATTCATTATTCATAATCTTTATATGATAAAACAAAGCATAAAATGAACACCATGAATGATCATAATACAAACTCATCTGTTGTATTTTAATATACCAATACATATTCATTTTGATCTGTCCAATATACAAACATGTAAACATTCAGCTATTTATGAGTAAAAAATACATAGTGAAAGGTTAAGTTCTGAAGCTGGTCTTTGTCTAAACACTTCATTGTGATTAACTGATATTATCAACAACATGAAAGTATCCAACTTAATGAGAAAGTACTGATTTTCAGAATTATCAACACTTTAAAAAATACTACTTATGAGTAGCCCAAATAAAAATTCTAAATCATTTGACTGATGAGAGTTATATAATCGTTGATTAAGGTACCGGAGGAAAATTTAGTTTTATTTTCTGACTGATATCATTTGTATAAGCATGGAAATCCTGGGATCAGATATTGACACATATATTCATCGTTAATATTCTAGTACACAGAACGTCTTCATTTATAGTTGTTAAGTACAACATTGAGTGAAAATTCATACGTACCAGACACATTCTGCACCCTTGAAACCAATATCACGAATATACTGTTAAGTCAGTTGAATCGATAACAGATCGTTTGATTCTCACTTGATAGGGAAATAGCAATCATTGTGTGACACTAAGCTCCTATATGTAGTGGTTTCAGGAGACCAGGAATAAGGTCCCACGTACCCGAATTGTTTGCATTAGATGAACGAGGTGACAAATGAACGTGAGAAGGGTTAGTAGTGGAGATAGGAGTTATTAAGAAGTATAGGAAGAATTTGATAGTGACCAACTTGGTCTCGTGCGCTGTTACGGGTATGAGAGCCGATGTCACTTCCCACAGCGTAGAAGGGTATTTATTGAGTAACCTGAAAAGGAGGTTGGATTAGTAGTGGTTTTAACGACCAGGGAGCGTGATCCCAGAGCCCAAGGGACAACTGCTTGAGGCTGGTCACGCACTGCCCTTTCGTGGGAGGTTTTTAACGTGTTACCTCCGTTCTTCGGAAGGCCTTACCGTCAGAGACGGAAATCCGTGAGGTAAGGTGAGGTGTGACATATCTAAAGTCGACCTTTTCTAACCCCTTCCTTCCTTGTGGGAAGGCAGCATCGCTGCAAATGCTGGTTGTCCAAAGGAAACACCTTACTGCTGTCACACCCCTCTACAGTCAGCAGAACGGCTTCGCTCTCAGACCTTGAGTTGCTGCTTTTAGTCTTACCGTTCTCCAATCGACCTGCCTGGCATGGTAAGACTTATAAGAACACATGTTCCAGCCAATATAGCCCGGTTGGGTCATTACGTAGGCAATCCCGACCACCACGTCAAGGTAGCAGCTACGGCTGCTTACAACAGAACGATCTAGAATCTTACAGTTTTGTTAAGTGCGAAGTATTGTCTACACTGTGTCAAATTGAGAGGCTCATGATGCTAATTTTGGAGTGTTATTCTCCAAACCTAAATGAATAGTGTCTGTTACATAGGTAGAAATATCAAGGACATAGGAAACTTGTTGAGTGAAAATATAAGACAAATAATATGAAGGAGGTATTAAGATGAATTTGAGAGTAAAGTCAAATGTTAAATATGTTGCTCTTAAGTAAACGACCACCCTTTATGAAATATCTGCAGAAAAGTCTTAATTCAGTTTATCGATCCGATTTGAGAAACTGGTCCTTCAGTACGAAAAACTGGCCACTTTTTTACAACATACAGTTTATGTAGACCAAGAGTACCATCCTCGCTAAATAGTTTTAATTCTTCTAACCAATAATGTTGCTAGGCACCAATTACGTCTTCAAAACGGAACTTGTTACTTCTCTGGCTTTTATAAATGAAATAAAAATGCAACTCGTTTACCAAGTACAGATTTATGCGCTTAGCTTTGAGCCGAATCATTTATGTGACGCCAACCAAATTTTCAATCTTTTGGAAATTATCATGTCAGCCTCGATGACTCAAATATATGAACTGATTACAAGGTTCTTCTATGAAGATAAAACAAAGAATAGAGCACTAACCACACCAAATATTCTGAAGTCGAGGTTTGTTCAAACTAAATTATGATAACCAACAAGCTTAATGGATGGAATTCTGTAACCATTTACTAGCAATGTTATATATATATATTTCTTGATAAACTAAGTAAAGATCTTAAATCTAAAAATGAATTTTAAGTCAATTTTCAAACACCTGCTTCATTAAGATCAGGTGCTGTCGATAAACTATAATGTCTAATTTCTAAGAAAGTTTCTGCTAAAATTCATATTTACTGTTGAACTTGTATCAGTTCAGTGTGATGATACAATTCATTTGTGTACTGATTGTAACTGAAAAAAAGTAGAATCATACTTATATCCTTGCAAATAGATACACAAGATATAATAACAAATTATTCAAATGTACTTCTATTTAAAATGACCGATTTACAAATAAAAACTAACATTTAAAATACGAAGACCAAAAGACACAGAATAACATTTTACTGTTCAATGGTTATTTTTAAATTAATAATATTTCCAAAATCTGGAGAAGAATAAGAACTAAACGAATATGGATAACATGTAATATAATTCATGGTCCCCAAATATTGAATTCATAACAATTAGATAACTATAAACATAATGTCTAGATCGTATCAAAAATCTAACATAAATTCACAACATATTTTTAGAAGAAATTAATGTAAAGGAGTAAGTTTTTCAGAGTTTCCCTTAAAACAAATGTCCATTCTAAATGGACTTTCGAATTATTTTATTGAAAAAATAAGAGTAGACAAGCTACAAACAAATAAATACAAATCTTATAAAATAGATAAATAGGTAACATGGAATAAAAACGGTCCGAATGGGAATAATTATTCTGGCTACTGCTCAATAATATATATATGAGACTCATCAACCATGGAAGATTCAGTTGTGTTAGTTAAACTAGAAAAAAAAACGAAAAAAAAAGTATTAGTTATATGTCGATATAATTAGTTTAGTTATATAACGAGCTTCGGGTTACGTGTGTATCAATTATTAGACTAATGAAAGATAGTGAAGTGGTTGACACGGTCAATTACTTCACCTATGTTGGAAGTCTAACCACATTCGGTGTCTAATAAAATCTTCATGGGAATACAGAAAACTTAAGTGACTATTGCGAACACACGACACTTGTAGTGTACGTAAGATTTTAGTCTGCCAACCAAAGAAAGAGTATACTGCTTTATAATTTGCTGTTCTACCTTATGGATATCAAATGTGCACTTTAAAGACAGAGGATATTCGTTCGTTACTAGTACCTAATCACAGGTGCTTTCAAACATCATTAGAGCACTGTGGGACCATCCGGTTAGCAACGTTGAGATTAAGCATAAGGTACTGAGAAAACATGTCAAATCGGATGGTAAGGTGGTTAGTCTTTATAAGCTTAGATGGTTAGGATATGTATTACATATACCTAACCACCACCAAACTCGACAGGCAATGTTTGTTGGTGTAAGGGTAAGTTGGAAGGTATATAGGAGTGGCTAAACCAAAAAGTGACATTAGACCATGAAGACATTGACTACTGAACTGAGCTGTGTACGTAATTGGAGACTAGCTGGTTCGGATCTGTACGACTACCGTGAGCAGTTTTAAGAATATCTTATACATTTCTATTTCAGGAATCCATGTTTTCTCGAATCGCCTAATCTTTTCTACTATCACTAGTACTGTCGATGTTCCCAGTAACTTGGGATCGACCTATGCTGGTATAGTGTGACAACCTGAACCGACGTACGTGTGCCAGGATCTACGTTGCGCATGACCGACTGGTACAATATCAAAAAGATAATTATTTACCCCAAAATATTACAATTACCAACATTATTAATTATAACTCCCTTTTTCATATGATAACAATTTTTACAGATATCAATGAAATAACGTTTCTCATGCTTTAATTTCCACTCACATATTATTAAATAAAGCATGTTAAAAGTTTATTTGTAACTAAAATTTAGGCCGTTTACAACTGATGAGAAGATAAGCCTTGCAATTTATTGTGCTCATTCCGTTTTAAAGTATCTACAGAATAAGATGAACGAAATACACCATCGTTTTATCCACAGTGTTGTTTAAAGAAAATACAAACTCAGATATTACAGTCTATAGCTAATTTACAAAAAAAAAATCAACACAATATAACAATGAAATAAATTGCCGACAGATTCCTTTCAATAAATATGCTTTGTGTTGTGTATATCGAATGATAAATATAACGAATAGTTATCAGTTATTTATTCTTAATATTGTACTGGAATAAAAGCTTTGCAATAATGTAAACACTAAAATAAATATCTAATTGGTATTCATTGTTAATTTAGCTACTTAAGTGGTGATAACCGTGTAGTTGTGAAAAGTGATTAACGTTCACTGAATTCTACGGCCCTACATTAAATGTACTAGTTAGCAGGTAAAACTAGCGGTAAGTATAGTTTGAAGTGGTACCAAATACCTGTAACTCTGAATCAAGTAAACAAATATTTTACTGTTTTTAGGTCTCGAAAATCAAAAATCAGCATAATCTTCCTTTGAAAATTAAATAAAAGTCTTGAAAAAGCATCTTCTGAGTAAATATATCATTCGAACACGATTTACTTATTAATAATAACGTTAACGCTGGTAAGGGTATCGAGAAACAACTAGTTACATAGCATTACAGCTTCAAATAAAAAGTATACACGAATTAAACTATTGCTTGCACATCTCCGATACACAGGGTGATACCGGTGAAGTGTTATACGTTCATAGTTTTAAATCTTAACCGAATGACGTGCAACTGAATAACTATTTCTTTCGGTAGTATGTTTATGATTTAAATGTGAACTAATAAACGAAACATGAGTTTTGAATCTGCAAATAAAGCTCTAATTATATATCTTTATCTGACTGAACGGTACTGCAATCTACTATATATCTGGAACAGATATTATATCATTTCCATAGTTATGAACACTAGATTATTATTGTTGTAACTTGAACAAAACACTGGTCTAGTCACTTGTTATAATTGCAGAAAAGTTATTACTTGCTACTTACTAGGAATGAACAAAGACTGATATGGTTCGAAGCAAAGAAGAAGGGGAGACTGAAGATAAAGATTTATTATAAACTACGAAAAAAACATCGAAAGCTATGTATAAATACACTAAACTGGGTAGTAGTTGACACAAAAATGTCATAATTCGATTTTTAAAAAATTAATCTATCACTTAAGAAGCATACCTTTAACACGTTTCTGAATTTCCACGAAATGAAAAGAAGCCAAGAATTTATCCAAGTTAAAAGATATTACATCACTCTTGTTTAGTAATTTTATCAGTTTTGATACAACAATTTTTAATCTAGCAATTTGTACATTGTGATCAGCTGATTCTAATTTAGCCACTAAACTGTACAAATTGACGCTATCTAAAGAGTGAAGTAAAAAGAGAATAAAATACTTATTATTACTGTTGTTTAGAATATGAATTATGTAAAATGCTATGACAGTGTGACCAAAGTGTATCACAGATCAACATAAATATTTTCCACAAGACACATCTTTCCTTTACCATTAAATTAAAACATTTGATACAATGATCAAGGAATTATAGTGGATATACATCTAGGTCGGTTACTATTTACCAAACACATAAGTGAATTATTTATGATTGCCTTGTACTTTATATACTTAACCGTACACGTTACTGGTCACACTCCCAACCTTATCGATGTTCAAGCTTCCCAATACAGTGTATTGGTGTTTATAAAGCATTAGCGACAGGATATTAGGAAAATAACAGTAGCACCTAACTTTTCAAATGATGGTTATAATTATTATCAGAAAGATTGCTTCCAATGTGTTATTTATAATGTCTTACATAAAATCGGCGCCCAACTACTGGGAAACTATTTTTAAAAAATCTACACGAAGGTTATTGCATGTTATAAATCTTAAGTAAGATATTACAAACTAACTACCTAACGTTAATTAGGCGCGATTATTGTTTCGAGGTAAAAAAAAAACTAAGCAATCAAAATGCTTAGTACTTGTAAGGCCAAAAAGAAAACAAAAGAAAGACCGTTTTGTGATCCAATTAGTGTTATAAAAACTGATTGCTTTTAACACGGTCGACTGGTTAGCCTAAAATATTAACGCAGATTATTACGTTAATCAAATTAAACTAGAGACTAAATCAACAAAACGACCAATGTACCACATACTTTGATCACATAACAGATGACTTTCAAATTTGTAGGTACAGAATTTCAATAACGAATCTTACTTAGCTTAAAGTGACAAGCTTGAACAACAGTCAAAAGATGAGGTTGCAATTCAAAAATTTCGTTTGCCAATGAATTTTCATTCTGTAAAACAAGATCGAATTGTAATCAGTATAGTAAACGTTTGTACGTCCGCGAAAAATTAATCAAAATGAGTTGATAATAAATATGATAGTAACATTTTAAGGTCCGTAGTTTATGCATCCATGTGTTCTATACATATATTTCATTAAATTTTCATCAAATCAATAAATTATCTTACCAACTCATACACTATAGGCACACCTTTTATTCTTCAAATAATAAGGTAAACAAGATAATTATCTTAGGGATGAGGTCAGTCTAAAATGGATTATGACTCTCCATTAACCGGGTTAAATAATGAATAATTTGTGCGCTTACATATTATTTCTTTTTAACTACAAGATTTTCATTACTCATAAGTCATACATCTGAAAACTTACTGGAAGGTCTGGGTGTATCACACAGTTTCCTGTGAACATAGAATTGTAAGTAACTTGGTCTGTATGATCAATAGATAAGTTGGCCAAAAAAGAACGTAGACAACGCCAAGAAAGCTTTAAACGTGTTACGGAAGCCATTATATCACACCAATCAGTAAGTGAGACGATACCTATTCGAAGTCAAATTTAATAAGTTTATGTATTAGACAAAGGATGAACAGTATTAGTTACAAACTAGATTATGTAAAAATAACCCTTCATTGACTTTATCTATCTCTACGTTCTTATAAGTGAACCAAGCCAATTATGGGGGTGCTGTGAGTAGAACTTGTAAAATCAATTCGAAATAAACGGATATATATAGGGCAAACTGATTACTAGCAAGTTTGCTACCTGACCCGGAAACACGATAAGGAATATTAAAAGCTACTAAATTCATTACCAGCCAATACCCTGACTTGATTTATCCACAGACCCTATCCAACTTATCTCTATTCAAGTCAACAAACATAGAGAAGTTGAATAGCTCTTCCCCAAAATGTCAATAAGTGACATCTATAGAAAAAACACTGATGTGCACAGATACGAATTCATCCCAAGTATGTAGAAATATATTTACTGAGCCAAAATTGTTTTGTAAAAGAATTTATGAACATCAGGCTTTAGAAATGATAAATATGCATTTTGTTTTCCCATATAAACTAAAAGTGCCATCATTTTCATTCAATAAATAGAATATGTTCTCGCTCAACAGTTACCTTGGTGATAAGTAATATTTAATTATTATCCTTAGTTTGAACTAAAACACAATTCTTTTAAGCCTGAACATATTTTACTCGAAAATAATTTAATGTTATAAAGGTCAAACGAGAAGTCACTTATTGCATCGAATATCCTTTAAAACATCTACAAAGGGAAGAAAAAGTGATAAAATTACATAGTGGCTGCTTTACTCGTCCTATTTTCCTTTGCAAGTACAATGTAAGGGCACTAACCATTTATTATATTATCCAAAAAGCAGTAACAAACTTATAACCTGGTAGTCATAACAACTGTAGTCAATGTATACTATTGTTGGTATGTAATTCAGCTAAAGAATACTTTTTTTAAACGAGCGCATTTTCGAAGCTATACAGCGATACATAAACAATGAACTATCATTAATAAAATAAACTGATTTGTATATATCGGAATATCAATAAGCTATAATCGTAGAATTGGTTAAACATCTTTATTAGCAAAACAACCAATTAAAGAGAGATCTAAAAAACTCAATGAAAGAATATTTAGTCGTTAAATGGTCGAACTTACTAAATGTGAATAATTAATAATCAAACTCAATAACTGAGTAGTTTAACGTACTCAACTGTAAACCAGAATTTCTTGTGTGAGGTCTAGTTAAACTAATTAGTACCCTGTCAAAGTAGGCGGAGTGCAGCATGAATCCAGAATCCAATAAGGTGAATAATTAAAATAGAAATAGTGTTGTGTGGATAAAAACCAGGAACCACATACAGACAGATTTGGTAAAATTTAAATAATGTATAAATTGAAAAAAAGATCATGTCTCCTTTTACTTTAACAAAAAAGTAAAAACATTTATATTAACCTGAGTTATAAATGTCTTGTTGACTGAAACATCCCAGGAGCTTTTCTTTACGATGAATTATCCGTTGCCATAAACACACAAATGCCATATTAACAGGATCATTTAATCTGAAGTTATTATCATAAAATTTATTAAAGGAAATAGAACAAAGTTGATACTTTCACAAAAAAAGTGCTAAAGATTATTTATTACAACAACTTTTCCTACCTACATTTGAAATACAGAAAACTATTTGAAATGTAATATAGAAGCTATCAACAACAACAAAAAGTATAATGAACAAACAAACTTTATGAAAACCTCAACAGAAAACATTATTAGAAATTAAAATGAATGAAAAAAGCAAAATAAAATTGTTTTAATAATTTTACACCATTTAAAGTTAATAGCTTTAATGTTATCACTTACTTAATGTGTAAATTTTTTAAAAAAATTCATTAAATGTAAACTTAATTTAAATATCTATACACTAATAAAGATTATAATATAATTTAGAAATAAATAGTCAATGCTAACGGCAACTAAAATAATTTATTTCATTGTCAACATTTATTACAACTTGTCCTAAGAAAATAAAACATAGTTATCATGTTATGTTATCTGTGTAAGAATATACAATATATAGGAAATTAGATTTGGCAATGATCGTTAGTAACCTATAAGTTGTATCAGTAAATTGTGCATCTTAGAGATAACAGCAATGTGAAATATTACACGTATTTCATGCATTCGAACAATGATATTAATAAAAAGTCTTAAACAAGACAGTTCAATTTCGCTGGTTTCTTGATGGATCCATACGATCTAAATGATTATGTAAATAACCTTTGCATTAAAGTAAATGTATAGGACTTTTAGATTCAGAATTAGATTTTATTTATATAGACAAATGGGAATAAAAAAGTATTAAGTGTTTAAGAAATACTAAAATATGATAAGAGATGAACATACTTAACATACGTAATGATAATAAGTACTGGGATCTTGATTAATTTAGATTGCAATCAAATAAGACAAACAGAATTTGATGACAGATGTGTAGTCAAAAGTACTTTTAAGTCAAAACAAAAGGAGAACAATGCAGAACTATCAAAGAAAAGATGGATACATTTTTAACACTTATTTTCAGATACAATAACTTAGCAGTAAAAACCAGTAGGTGAACTAAGTATATTTAACTTAGAATATTTACATAATCCAGCCTGTCTTTTCACTGGAGCAATGTGGTTAATAAGACAATTCAGACTAAACGTTCCTATGTTTGCTAATTCATGTCCTTTATATACGCAGTTTATTTAAATCTACCTATTCCTCCTAAGTTGAATAATATACATTAGGGACACGTCTCCGAACAAAGAAGACCTAATTTTTCAACTGATTTTCTCTACAAAACCGCTGGATTGAATGACCATCATAATTATTTTGGTATTTCACACAGAAACAATGGATTACTTCCTTTCTAGCTTCACACTACCTTCTCAAAAACCTTAATAGATAACCATTGTGGTGTAGAAAATGGTCAATCACTTTCAGCTTGGATCGAAATTCTTTAACTCAACAAACGTTCTTTAGTGGTGATCATGAATATATTGAAGTCTGCAAACACTATGAATGGAAATCTCAGAGATTCACCGCAATTTCAGATGAATAGTTGTAAAAACATATGACAAAAACGTTGTATTCTCGCGATTGCTTTTCTGTGTCGTCAGTGAAACTAGACACTAAGTATCACCATCTGAATGTAATTAAAAGATTTACTAGATACCACTGAATATCGATAGTTGTATAAAGTGATCAAAACCCTAAATAACTAAAATACAAAGAACTTACGTCCTGTCATTATCTAATAATTGATCATGTATTCGCATAAGAACAAATACATTCACATAGATGTTAAGCGATGCTGAAAAAGTATTTTTTGGTACACATTTTATCGGATACAGAGAAACAATAGCGTTTGGGTTGGTGATTTGATTGGACTTCCCACCAGTAACACAAGCATAAGCACCCTCATTACTGCGTAGTGTGAAATAATCGAATGATGAAAATATAGTTAAAACTTTTCCTGAGTGGGAAATATGCCATCCCTCCATATGGCATTCATGGGATCGAATAATCATAGAGAAACCCGTTGTACCTAAGAAACTATCAGTAATATCGGGACCGAAATAACAACCTGCACCACGGAAACCGTTGGGTCTACATCCATCTTTATCTTGAGGATCACTCCATAACAAATCTAAAACCTAATGAAGCAAAAAAACAATAGAAGCACAATAAACAACTGCATAAGAACTAAAAATATCATTGAAAACGTTCACCAAAACATTAATGTGAAATCAAAACCGTTAGAAAAAGAATCGCTTTTCAGTTCTATTACAAAACCATAAAGACAACATTCATTTATTTCTTTACGTAAGAACAGTTAAATATCCATTTGTTTCATACCTGTTGCCAATCATTAAAATTTACACAGTTATCCCCATCCAAACATGGTTGTAGAAGTGAGGAAAGCTTTGGAATAAAATTCAATAAAACAAACAGAGAAAGAATAAGAGCAGCACGTTATATGATCAAACAATTAGGTGAAAGAACACCCTTTAAAATTAAAAGTATCGTATACGGATACAGAGAATCCACCCTGGGGGAGTTAGAAAACCCTGATCCCAAACCAATGGTGCACATGGGCTCCAGGATTCTAAGGAAACAAATGGCGTATGAACCAATTATTGGTCACCAAGTACCATGGAGCTGCATCTCCAGACGTTGCTGCACTGCCTTGTGGATTAGACTTTTACGTCAAAGGCTTGGAGTGTGGTACCCTAAGAAAACCACCCGCTTCTGTTTGAGCATTCGAGCAGTATCCCAGCCCTCACACAAATCGAATGATTTGTGGCGCATATCTATTTGGCGCCTTCTTGTACCAATGTTTATGTGTTTAAATAAATAAAAAAATAATACACACCCACAATATATTCTTTGCGCTGATCATAGGACTATACTAAAGTTAACTTCAAGGGTTAATAGAATTTCCAAAATATATCGTGATTGAAAAATTTAAACATTATTCATATATATCCAAAAATATAGTAAGTAAAATTTAGATTTTGTTGAAATACACTACATTTTTATTCGTTATAACTAAGTTTACAATCTATTAATTTACATAAGATTGTATCCCCATCTTATTATTATTGAAATCTAAGTATCTTCTTCATCGTTTTGAATAATTGATCATTCCAGTTAATAATCCTGAACTATCATATATTACTTTCACAGTAAAACTACTAATTTATATTGTATTCCAACTATACTACTATTTATCTGGTCTATTATTTGTAAATAAGATGACCAATTCCTGATTTTAAGTCGCTAATAATTAAATCATATTGGTTAATCCAACATTTACAGTTCACATGAAGTGTATTCAAAAAGATAAATAAAAAAATACGACAAATTCATTATATTCTGCGAATTTTGCTTTTCTTGTTTTGTTTCGACAAATAAAAATTTGATATTTGTTTTAATTTTTTTTTAAAAAAAAACTAATTTTAAATCAAAATAAGTCTGCTTTTATCTCACTTTAAATCTATTTAGAAGCTTTAATTTCATAAGATCTGTATGTTTTGATATACCACCATGGCAGATAAATATTCTTTCATTGACGATAGCTCCAATTGGTAGAGAGCAGAACAATTTGTCACATAAGTGAATTAAATTATTTCTATCCTTCTACAAATTGATAAGGTAATAATAATAATGGGGTAAAGTAATCGAATGGATTTTTAGATCTTGATTTCAGGACAATTTTATGATAAGTAACTGAAAAGTCTTTTTTTAAATATAATGGTTAGTTTATCTATTATAATTTGGCTTATAGGATTAGTATTTTTATTTTTCATGAAGGGAGTTAAATTCATTATTCATTCAATCATTTCATTTCTCATTATATGCAATATATTACAAATTATTATTTAATTTCCTAGCATATTATTTACCGACATTACCCTTTATATAATTAATGAAATCAAGGTTAATGATATTTCCATACTAAAAAAATAGTAGAACATAAGACTAAATTCTTCCAAATGTGAATTGTTTTACACAGCTAACAATCCTAAAAAATACTGTTATATATTTAGGTTCATCAATCGTTAATTAAGTGAAAGTACTTCTGATGAAAGTTTATTACAATGTATCAGCATTAGACAATCCGTTTAGATATAATAACTTAACTAATAAGAAAATATTTACTAATGATAGATTACAATCAAGTGTTATAGCAAATAAGATCAGAATATTGAGACATAAATAAATATTATTGATAAAAATTAAAACTAAACGGTATGCAATAAACCAGCAGCAGTGACATATATTAGCGACTTAAACCACAGAGTTTCAAAGAACCAGTGGATTTCTTCAAGGTCTATCACACTGATGGATTCTCGCAAACTCGTCCCATCAGGTTCTGAACATGATGAAGAGCGACAACAAATCAGATTTAGGTTAAGAAAAAGTCTAAGAAAGACCGTGAGCAGTGGTGGGCAACGAAAGCAAAAGAGATGGAAAAGGCGGCGACCATAGGGAACACAAGACAGCTTTACAGACTAATAAAAGAAACTGGAATTAATAAGTCAAGTGTAAGTGAGATTATATCGGAAAAAGACGACACACTCATCTGCTCCCAGTCCAGGCGTTTAGAACGATGGGCGGAACATTTCAGAGAACAGTTTAGCTGGCCTTCAGCTACTCTACAACTACCCTCCATTCCCAGACAGTGTGAATGGAACATTGAAGTAGGTCCCCCAACTCTTGCTGAAGTTCAAAAGGCTCTAGTTAATCTGAAACGAGGAAGGGCAGCTAGTCCAGATGGATTGGCTCCAGAGGTCTTTAAGGATAGTGGTCCAATTTTAGCGATTAGGTTGACTAATATTTTAGCTAAAATCTGGGAGTTAGACGTTATTCCATCTAACTGGTCACAATCACTTATCGTCCCAATATATAAGAATAGCTCAAAATCATCCTGTGACAACCACAGAGGGATTAGTTTAACTAATATAATATCTAAAATACTAGCCTCGATAATTATCAGACGCCTAACTAAGACTCGTGAACTGCAAACGCGAGAGAACCAAGGTGGTTTTAGACCTGGTCGTGGCTGCATCAACCACATATTCACCATTCGTCAGATTCTAGAACACAGGCATACTTATCGGCGTCCGACAATGGTGGTCTTTCTCGACTTAAAAGCAGCATTTGACTCCGTAGACCGCGAGATTCTGTGGCAGTGTCTGTCATTGAAAGGCGTACCCCAGAAGTACATAAACCTTGTAAAGGCTGTTTACTCGAACACTACTAGTCGAGTCAGAGCTTATGGCGAACTGTCATCTACTTTTACAACCTCAAGTGGTGTCCGTCAAGGCTGCCCACTTTCCCCATTTTTGTTTAACTTCATCATAGATCTACTGATGGAAATAACTTTCTCGTCGACTGAGTTCTCGGGTATTGATCTCCTACCAGGAGGTCCACTTATCGACTTAGAATACGCAGATGACATAGTCCTGTTTGGTGAAGACGCTGACAAAATGCAGAGTCTTCTGGTAGCACTGAGCAACAATGCCAGGATGTTTGGAATGCGCTTCTCTCCCTCTAAATGCAAGTTGTTGCTTCAGGACTGGTCTGCGTTAACACCTGAACTAAGGATAGGGAGTGAAGTAGTCGAACGCGTTGACAACTTCACTTATCTTGGAAGTCTGATCAGTCCTAATGGGTTGGTATCGGACGAAATCTCAGCACGGATTCGAAAAGCTCGTTTGGCTTTTGCCAACTTGCGTCACCTATGGCGAAGGCGAGATATCCATCTATCAATAAAAGGACGAGTATACTGCGCGGCAGTCCGTTCTGTTTTAATTTACGGCAGCGAAACATGGCCATTAAGAGTAGAAGACACTCGTAAGCTACTAGTATTTGACCACAGATGCCTTAGAAATATTGCTGGCGTCTGCTGGGATCACCGGGTAAGTAATAGTGAGGTTAGACGCAGGGTATTAGGGAATGATGGTAAATCAGTTGATGAGGTTATGAATCTTCATCGACTGAGATGGTTGAGCCACGTGTTACGTATGCCTGAACACCGATTACCACGACATGCAATGCTATCCGGTATTGGAAATGGTTGGAAGAAAGTTAGGGGCGGCCAAACCAAAACGTGGCATCAGTGTTTGAAGTCACTAACTTCTAGTCTGAGCCATGTTGGTAGATGCAGACTACTTGGTTGGGGTCCGCGTGACTATCGTAACCAATGGTTGGAGACTCTTGGTGACATGGCTCAGAATCGATCACAATGGCGTCGGTGTATACACTCCCTGTCTTCCCTTAAACTAAGAGATTAAAATCGCTTCATATCTTTCTTTCTACGAACCAATTCTTTCTTCTTGTACTATATCTCTATATGCAATCTTTCTCTTACATATTACTACCTTTGACCTAACCACTGCTATGAATCCGGTGTTCATCTTGTTGTGCTGATGCGGTATGGCAACCTGGACCGATGCACATATGTGCCTGGTCCTACGTTGTAGCTGACTGACTGACTGATGCAATAAACTAAGAGTTAAAAATTCCCAAGCATCGCTTAACTCAATGATCCATGCAACCTAGTAAAACAGACAAGAGTTAAAATAAATCGAATCAATACCAGTTTGTAAGTTGACTAACTATTGTGGACAGGTACAGATGTCCTAGTCAAGTTCGATGAAACAACCATAATAGAAAAACAGGAGCGAAGGAGAGATTCTATTGAGCTATCGAATGTGTGCATAAATATTCATATGTATATATGTACTCTGTAGAAAATAAAACCCATTTCTTAGACAATTACATGCACTTGTCCCTTAGGACATATCCGATTGGTACCAAATGACTTTTTCATTCGGCTACTTCTGATTACCCCACAATATTAAAACTCTTCTAATGGTTAGACATACTTCCGAATTAGAACAAAATTACTACATTAAAAACTATAAACAACAAGAAAACTTCGAGATGAATCTCGTTAAAAATTTAATTAAGAATCCTACTAATTAATGTCTGAAAAAAATGTTTTTAAGATACAATTACAAGATAGTTAGTTGAATAATGAACAGACTACATTAATGAAGTCTAAACTGTAAAACGACAATACAACTTACAGAATATTTATTTGATAGTTCTTTTACAAATCCATACCTAAACAAGTTTGCAACAGAATAAAACTCATTAGAATGCAGAAAAAGCTTTAGTGAAGATAGCCGTCAGTAAACATTAAAGTACTATTAAAATAAAATGGATTGAATCCTTACTACTATCACTGTCACTGCCAATAACAAATTCTCACGAAGTAACATCTAAAGGTTTGGAGTCGTGGCTTAATGTGTTCGACTTTCTACTAATAAGTCGCATGTTCGAGCCCCACTCCACCTACTTCCGTTTGGGCACCCGAATAATAACCTATAAACATAAATTGTGGCTGGAAGCCGGGTATACGAATGCATACTTTGTGAACTGCATGAAACATATAAAAGTTAGATATGGACAGTCAGCAAAAACAAGAGATAAGAAAAAATAGAACACATGATACTGAATTTTAATACTCATATACAAGTCTATATAAGAGAAAGTCGAGTAATTTAAATATATAGATACAATGGAATAAAACATTTTGAGTTTAACCATTAGATATATATATTCTTATGAGCTTTAGCAACATTCAGTTGACCCGTGCACGCGTTTAGCTACTCACAGATACTTACTATTCTTCTAAAAAAAATAGGGCGTAATCAAAATAATAATATCAATAAAAATATCGGCTGAGTATTTATATGTTTGCATAATGCAACTGAAAAAATTAGGGATCTATCTAATAAACAGTAAGTAAATGTGAAGACAAAATGGTCAAAGGTGAAATGACAAATACACAAAATAATAAATTTTTGATAATATCATAAACATTTCGTTTACTAGAAGGAAAGAACAGAAATAAGTCTCAATAATTTGTACTACACTTTATAAAGAAATAAGATTGTTGTTTCAGAGAATAAAACAAACTAAACTTTCAATTAAATTATGTTCACTTATAAATGACGTAGTAATTTCATAAAATGGTTCACAAGACATTTCAAAAGCATTTTTCATAAAGCAAAAGTGTGTAAACTCCATAATAAGGCAACTGACTAAAATTAAGTCGACCCCACAATAAACTAACACCGGCTGGCGAATTAATGAAAACTAGTAAGTGATAAACAGCTGCTTTATCTAAGTTTGAGATTCGCTAACAGTGTGTACCTACTAGTACCAAACATAGCAACTTTAAATCTCGCAGCGAGTACAACATCACTAAATCACTGGCAAGGTCGTACATGACACTAGAACAAAACAAATCCGCAATTTTTCTCGGTTTTTAATTTGATGTGCGTCAGTAATGAAGACGAAGTTTAAATTGGACAACTCCCAAACCTTTAAAAATTAAATGAACATTTGTAAAAAAATCCGAAGTTAATTACAACTAACTTTTAAAACTGCCCAGGTTACACAAATATTCTCTTTACGTGATGAATAGTCGGATACGCTTAAAAACTGAAATACAAACTTGAATATTTTCAAGTCGAATATTATTTTTTGACGTACAGAGAAGGGCATATAATATATTGTTAGATTTATAATAAAAACTAACCTTTCATTCACCATGATATCTTCGTGATTTCCCCGATTAAGAAATACATAGGTTGGGTAAGTTAATACAGCCATTAACAATAAACTTAACACTTCGACTGATTTAGTTCCTCGATCGACAAAATCTCCATTGAATACAAAACGATTCCGAGAGTTCGGTAAACCAGTCTATAAATAAGATAAAGTTAATATGAGTAATTCATGAAGTTTAGTGAACACATCTTTTAGAAATGTAAACTTATGGATTTTTTTGTGTTTGTCAAGTTTGACTCTGAATGGAAATAGTATCATAGCTGTTAGACTGAGAAACTTTCCATCATGATAAGACTGGTTTAACATCGGGTAGTTAGAGACAAGAAGTCCTTGGTAATTACACATGGAAATCGATCGATGGAGCTATATAAAGACTTATAATTAGAGAGAGAATGACTTGTTGATACCTAATAGCTAATTGATGGTTGGTTCAATAAAAAAAAGGTTTAGAACGTGATTCGAATGCCCAATTATTAAGGTCTGTGACCTCGGTATTCGGATATGTAAATTTAAAATTTGTGTCTAGCTACTTCGAATTTGCAGATATTTGCTGCTGGTGAGTGACAACAAAACTAAAACTAGATTTAAGACATCCAATTTAACATATTCAAAGACCTAATATCCAAAACGAATAGAACAGAAATTTAGAGTACACTAATTTCTTACTGACAATGTAGCATAAATAATCCCGATTCGCTTTTATTAAAGCTTTTAAGTACTTATCTTTACTGTATTAACGTTTTTTGAATTCATCTCTATTTGGTTTATAAGAAAAACTTTAAAATCCATTTTAGAAGCATCTCAAAATACATATGATCTTTTGTGGTTAACATCATCCGTTTCTGTCATATTCTGCATTTGAGATATTACGAGTCAAGAGCTTACACTATAATGGGTACAGACTAAAAGAAACCATTAGAGATCGAACGAGCAACATATACTATACTTTAAATGATACTTAACACTGAACGGATAATAATGAGATAAGAATAAAATTTGTAGGAAAGATTTTAGTGTCACAAGATAAGGCAATCGTACAGATAAATACTGCTGATTAACCACTGCCTATATGGCTGAGGAATAAAAGCAACAAAATAGTTTGCTATCAGTGATCAATCATTTATTTTTGGTGGACCCAATAAAATGTCTAGAAAAGCTTGAACTACCACTTTGGAAATAACTCCTTGTCCTTATTCAATGTTTGCAATAATTGATATCAGGAATATCAAAATCTATTGATGCAATAAAGGTTAAATACTGTTTATCGTTCATTAAATAATTTGTACACCTTTTTGCGCCCCCTAATGCCCTGGTAAGGCCGACAGTGGGGAGAGTCCGCTCACCCTCCCAAAATACTCTCACACGGCCACGCGTATACAGCCGCTGCCAGGGAAGTCCTACTCAGCGCCTTCTCGTGGCAGGGGTGCTGTTTACGAAAATGAGAGGACGAAAAGCGAATGTCCGGCGCTTTAACCGGATCACAAACCAATGGTGCACATGGGCTCCAGTATCCTGCGGGAACAAATGGCATATGAACCAATCGTTGGTCACCGGCTACCATGGGATCGCATCTCCTTACGATGCTCCACTGCCTTGTGGGTTAGACCTTTAGGTCAAAGGCTCGGGGAGTGGCCCCCTAAGATAACCACCTGCTTCGGTTTGGGCACCCGAGCAGTATCACAGCCCACACACAAAAATCATGAACTGCCTATAATTATGGAAACTACTTTACTTGCTTCAACTAACAATCTAATTATTATTATTATTATTATTTACCACATTATTCACCCTCTTTTATACTTATACAGCGGCTCGTCTTTGGTGGAAATTCGACTGTATCTAAACGTTCTCGAGTCACTGTCCGGTTGAAAATTGTATGTTACCACCGAATATGAGTACTGAAGCAGTTTTTCTGAAACCACGTGCACCATTCAAACTGGCTGCCTTCAACGTTCGCACACTTATGCAGGTTGGACAACAGATGAGGCTGGCTTTGTCTTTGGAAAGTCTTCATATCGATGTCTGCTGTCTATCCGAGACCCATATTCAAGACTCTGGTGAAGTACTACAAATTCGCTCTCCATCTATCACTTCAAAAGGCTTGTTTTACGTGCGTTTGTCCGGACACCCTGTGGCATCTTCGTCTGGTCGTGCTGGCGTTAGTGTCGCACTAAGCGCTAGAGCTGAGGCGGCACTAATCGATTGGATCCCCATTAATAGTCGGTTATGTGCTGTTAGATTAGGAAATTCCGTCAAAGTGAGAAGAAATCGGCATGACAAACGACGTTTTTTCGTCATCTCCGCCTACGCGCCGACAGATTGCAGCCCGGATGCAATCAAGGATGATTTTTACCACCAATTATCTCTTCTTCTCCAGAAAGTGCGTTCGACAGATATTGTAGTACTAGCCGGAGACTTGAATGCTCAGGTCGGGTGTCTAGGCACAAAAGAGGGTCGTTTAGGTGGCCGATGGGGACTCGTTGGTCGCAGGTCAGATAACGGGGACGGGTACCGTCTACTGCAACTGTGCACAGACCACAACCTGCATCTGGTAACTACCGGAAGCTCTTCCAACTCATCCGAGCCACTGGCAGCAAGAAGTCTGGTGTGAGTGAAACAATCTGTGAGGATGATGGGATGCCAATCACTAACATCCATCGACGTCTTGGACGATGGGCAACATTTTTCGAAGGGCAGTTCAACTGGCCTGCTGCTCCGGCAACATCGGTCAGACTGTCCTGCTCTCCATGGCCGGTGACGACTGATCCACCAAATGAGGCGGAAGTCCGCAAGGAACTCCAACTCTTGAAGCGCTACAAATCACCGGGCCCAGATGACTTACCTCCGGCTCTTTTTAAAGATGGTGGTGACTTTTTGACTAAGGAATTGACGACGTTGTTTACAAAGGTTTGGGAACTAGAGGGTGTACCAACGTCATGGAATGAGTTGATAGTTGTCCCTATCTTTAAAAAGGGTCCACGTCGTTCCTGTAACAACTATCGGGGGATAAGTCTACTTCCGATTGTGTCCAAGCTATTGGCTTCCGTCATACTTCGTAGGTTGTTCAAAACCCGAGAAAGATTGACTCGCGAGGAGCAGGCTGGGTTTCGTTCTGGTCGAGGATGTATTGATCATATCTTCATCCTCCGCCAAATGTTAGAACACCATCATACTTATCAAAGGCTAACAATCGTAGTATTTCTTGACATTAGGGCCGCCTTCGATTCGTTGGACAGAACTGTTCTCTGGGATTGTCTATTGAAGAAGGGTGTGTCTGAGAAGTTTACTAACATCCTAAAAGCCCTATATACAAACACCTCAGACAGAGTGAGGGCATACAACCACCTCTCTCCATTGTTCCATTCGAGCAGTGGGGTTAGGCAGGGTTGTCCAATCTCATCATTCCTCTTCAACTTTGCCATCAATGACATTCTGGAAACAGCTCTGATGGATGTAAGTAATGGTGGTGTGGATCTGTTGCCTGGAGAAAGACTTCTCGACCTTGAGTATGTGGATGATATTGTCTTACTGTGCGATAATGCCCAAGCAATGCAATCCGCAATTAATCAGTTGGCAATCGTTGTCCGTAGGTACGGTATGTGCTTTGCACCTTCGAAGTGCAAAGTACTTCTACAAGACTGGCAGGATTCTAACCCTGTACTCACGCTGGATGGTGAGCAGATAGAAGTAGTCGAGAAGTTCGTGTATCTGGGTAGCTGCATAAGTGCTGGTGGTGGCGTGAGTGATGACATCAATGCACGTATAGTGAAAGCCAGAGCGGCTTATGCCGATCTGGGCCACCTTCGGCGTCTTCGTGATGTTAGTCTGGCTGTAAAAGGTCGGATCTACAACGCGTCAGTGAGAGCAGTTTTGCTCTATGCCTGTGAAACCTGGTCTCTCCGAGTTGAGGACGTTAGGCGACTCTTTGTGTTCGATCATCACTGTCTCCGAAGGATTGCTGGCATCCAGTGGCAACACCATATCAGTAATGCAGAGGTTCGGCATTGTGTGTTCGGGCACAGAGATGATAATTCAATTGGTGTCACCATCTTGAAACACCGACTTCGGTGGCTTGGACATGTTCTCCGAATGTCTTCCCAGAGAATTCCACGTCGTGCATTATTTGCTGACTCTGGGATTGGTTGGAAGAAGCGGAGAGGTGGTCAGTGCATGACATGGTGTCGTTGTATGAAAGAAAGCTGCAAAGGACTGGCTTGTGTTGGTCCTTTATGACTTCCTGGTTGGGGTCCTAGAGATGGTGCAACACAGTAGCTAGAGACGTTATCAGATATGGCTCAAAATAGAAGCCGGTGGCAATCCTGGTGTAACCTTCTTTTACTTTCTTCATAAAAAGTGGTTGTGTCTCCCTTACCTGAAAGATTTCTGATTGTACCTTTCCGTTCCCTCATTTCTACCGTACTACCTTACACCAATCTCCTCGTTATTGTTCCTTTTTTTGCGCTCCTTAGCTTTTTTTTCTATTTCTCTTCGAATTCTCATTGTTTTGTGTGGCGCATATATATTGGCGCTCTCTTGTACCAATATTCATGTGTTCAAATAAAATAAAAGAAAATATACACCTTTGTGCCCTATTTTTGTACAATAACATTACTATCTAAACAAAATTATTTAGGATAATCCATGTGACTTAATTACTTTGGCTGTTTATTTGTAAATTAAATCTTATCGGTTATTACCCAGAGTTATACATTTAGGGTTGGTGATATTGGGTAAGAGTGGTACATACAAATTGTATTTTATTCTTATAAACTATATTATCCCAAATACACTTGAGCTGTAATCTGAATAGATTCTAAAACCAATAACAACTATGAACTTGATAATGGATCCAACAACACTGTCATAATGTAGTTTTAAAATTATGACGAGGTTGGGTCGTGGTAGGATAAACTAATAATCAAATGGGAATCATATATCCACGTAGGAGAAACAGCTTCTTTGCACAAAACTCTAAATAAAATAATCTGTTGTAGTTATTCTTAAAACAAGAAACCGTAATTGAATTAAAACTACCAATTCATGGAAAATACATTGAACTAAATGTTAGACAGGTTTCTCTATACATTAGTAATCTAAATACGTAATTTATAATTACTGACAGCAATAGATATCATATCTTAATCTACCGTAGCTAAATAGTATCGTTATGTATCCACCATACACCAAGGGCCACTTCAGATGCAAATCGTGATCTGAATTTTAAGTTAAATTTATATTCATCTATTAGTCTTGTTGTTTACTCCTCAACCATGTTTTATTGTTTCAGATATCATGATTAGACTTCGTTAACTATGCAACGAAATTCTTAACTTAATCTGTACAACACAACCACATACATAAATATATGATTAATTAATAAAATACAGTAATAACTAAGGTAACCTTGATGGAATGATACAAGCCGTTAAAAATATGTAATTAAAAAATGGGTGTATCTTAGTAAAATTATATATATATATATATATATATATATATATTCGATCGAAATACATTGAAATAAAAATATTCTAAAATGAACTGAATCAATTTGACCATTTTCTTTCGATTTTCTACGAAAGCTTACTTCTTCAAAAACTCTTAAAGCTGCAATCAAATTGCCATGGAGATCACCACAGATAATCAAATGATGTTCATCCTCAAGTTGAATTTCTGTTAGATTTGGTTGTTGGCTAAAAAATTCTGTAGCTTTGTTCAGTATCAAAGTGAAGAAGTTGGTGGGAATTATCTAGCAATCAAAAAAAGTAAAATTCATTTACAGAGCAATATAAATGAGATAACTTCATACTCCTTACTAATCATTGTACATTGTAATGATGAAACAGCACGACAGCAGTGGTTAATAGACTCTAATATAAGTTATTGAGTCAAGTCCGAACGCTATTCGACCTACATCAACTAGGACAGTATAAAAAACCCACATAGAAAATACATAGCTCAAAAAGCGGTGCAGGAACCCGTGCTGATAAATGAGTTCACCTGGATTTACAAATTTATTATTATTTCTAAGATACGAGCAAGCATACCAAATGACTTATTTAGGTGATTAGCGGCGGACAACAGGACCCTGGACCTAAGTTTCCTGCTAGCTAGCGCCCACTGGCAGGGCGTGTCTGTAGATTAGAGGGAACACGTGCTCCCTCGTAGATTTGACACTGACTACCTTCAACCTCCAAACATATCAATAGTGTATGCAATGTCGATGCGCCCAACTACTTCATCATTTATAATTAGCGTGGCCATTGATATAGATCAGTCCTGAAGCAATAAGGAACAAGTAGGTTGCTATGTATAAAGGATGTTCTATATATTAAAAAGGAAATTATATATGTGAAAATCCCAACGATTCACGTAAAAAAATAACTCCAAAGTTTCGCTAGGCATTCTGCTGCGGGAGTCTTCAAGAAAATGATTAAAAACCAGAATTGTCGAACAAAAACTGAGTTCATAAAATAATTGTAAAATAAGTGATCATCCAAACAAGTTGAGATACGGTTATTTTGTGAATCCTATATTCGATCATTTTTAGTTTTAATTATTACCATGAAAAAGTTCAAAACAGAATACCAGGCAAAATATTGGAGTTCTTTAATTTCAATTGCTGAGATTTTTTCAGAGATAGTTTTGTTTTAATGTCTTCCATAAACTAGGAACCCGAATATTGTGAAACTACTAATTCAAATTTAGACAAAAATTCCTACAAAAAAGGATATTATAGATCATGAGATCTATAAGAGATATAACACTAATTAGAGTTATGGACACTATCACTCATTACTTGCTTGGTCTAAAATAGTAACTAAAAGTATATTACATCTCTAAAAATAAAGGAAATGTTACCGTAATTGATGAACTTGTTTCAAGAGATTGAACATACCTTATCTGACTGTATCCAATTAAGAAAGGATAGAAACATTTCTTCAGGTATTGGAAAGTGTATGTGATTAGGGTCCGGATTAAAATCGCTTGTAAATGAAGGTTCCTTATTACACAAAAACTTTTTGGATGCTGAAATAGAAAAATAAATGAAGAGTAGGACTAGGCAAATAATAAGAACCAAATGATCACATGGGTATTTGGCAGTGTAACTACTAATACTTGGGTAAAATGATCAATTGATCGTAAAACTTTGGTAAAAACTGTTCAGAACTTTAGGCCAATAACTAGTAAGTTGGGGGAGACGAAACTAAAACATGATACTCGATACTGTCAAGGACTGAATCATACTGGGAACGAATACAGTATTGATACGAATCACAAACCAAGTACGAAGGCATGTCAACTCATTCAATTTGAAGGAAACGCTTAGATCGAATTAAATTTCTACTTAAAAAGGAAGAATTAGTATAAATAACTCCAAATAATGACGAATTTCAGTGTAGAGGCTGTAAAGTATTGAATGTTGTTCAAAAAAACTTAATTAAGTAATTGACAAATCCTATTATACAGTACAATTTGCAACCACTGATAAGTAAACATCTAACTGTCTCACTGACAACTGTTCTATAAACTCTTTGTTATCTTTTTTATTGACTCTTGTCGTTTTGGTCCTTTACGTTGTTTCAAACCCACTAAGTTAGAAAAAAAGAAATGTCTTAAACTGCTAAATTGTTGAATTATATATCATCTTATTTAATTATCTTTGACGAACAAATAATTCAACTAATTTTTATTTTATTGTCAAGGATAAGGTTTTCGATAACTCGGTGAGACGAAATTTTCGATTGTTGAAATCAATGAATAGGATCATCATAAATGAATGAACGCAATGATACAATATGGCCAGATGATGGCTACTCATGAGACCGTATTATTGACTTAACCCCTCGGACGATTATTAACCCAAAACAAGACCACTAGCCAAATGAATGGATTTCTGTGCAGGAAAATTACTTGCTGAGACACAGAAGTTAGACATTAACACGGTTGGATGCTGAATCGGTGATCTGAAGATTAAGTATTCGTGAGCGACACCGAAAATCCTGGGTTCCATTTCCGTGTGCGGAGTCATGAATAGGCACTGCTGAGAAGCCTCATACTGGGACGAACGGGCTATCCAATGCATTCAAATCTTAAATGGTCTGGATTAGATTGTTTCATGATTTCAATGAAATAATTGCTTAATCGTCATTTACATAGCATTAAAAACAACGATATGATGGAAATTACAATTTTATTGTGAAATACTTAGTAATTAATTTAGTGCATTACTGTCCTAAATGAGAAGGAAGACAAGTCTACACAAAAATATGCGCAACAAAACCTAATTAAACACTCCCAAATGGTAGTCATCCATGTATTTTAGCTACTAAACAACATAAATTTGAATGCCTTGTGGATAACACGATAATAAAAACCTGTGAATAACTGTACACAATTTATCAACAGAGAAAAATTGTAGCTCAAGATTAGACGTATGTTATTTCATATTCTCGGAAGTTGATTTTTCGTGAAATTAAAAGACGAAGTTGCTCAATTTGGTGATGAAAGCGTGATAGTTAAATATGAAAGCCCGTATCACATCAAAATTTACAACTATTATTACTATTTTCACTTTTACATTTACACGTTATATATTTATTTATTGTAGGAAGTTTTAAAAAAAGGACCGATTACAACAGATATGGGACAACACACAACAAACAGATAACAAATGATAAATCTCAACTTGATTTCATCAGTGTTCGCTAAAAATTTCCGTGCGGAAAACATTAAATTACCCCAACCAAAAAATATAGCGACCTTACCATCTCCATTACCAAAGCTAGATAATATGAGCTGTAACTAAGCAGAAAAGGCAATGATAAAAATAATTCTACAATGAGTAAACGCCGTAGACAGAAACCGTAATGTCCTAGTTTAAAAACATTTTGTTTAGGAGTAAATTTAGCTCTTTTTAGTGAATATTCAGCTACGAGACCCAGAAAAATTAAGTGTCTTAAAGGTAATGATAGTTTGGTTTTAAATTTTCGTACAAAAAACTCGAAGTAACTTGGTTAACATTTGAGCTTCTAAAACTTTTAAATTTCAAAAGATAGAATTAAGAAATGTGGTTTATTAAACAATAAAATAAAAAAATTAAGATATACAATATGAGGTTCAACTATTTGTTTTAAAATAGATTTGACTATATAGAACATAACACCACTTAATGTACTTGGTCTAGTTTTAGGTTTTAAATAAAATTTATGCATTAGATATCTCTGTTAAGTGTATGAACAAATACAATTGAAAATTTTACTGGACCTAAAAACACTCCGAAACCCCGAGAAATCAGTCAGTCAGCTACAACGTAGGACCAGGTACATATATGCATAGGTCTAAGCTGCCACACCTCATTAGCACAACAAGATGAACACCAAATTCATAACAGTCACTTCAATGGTAGTAATATATGAAAGATTGTGTATAAGGATATAATACAGGAAGAATTAGTTCGTAGAAAGAAAGGTATAAAGTGATCTTAATCTCAGGGTTTAAGGGAAAACAAAGATTGTATACACTTACGCCACGGTGATCGATTCTGAGCAATGCTATCTAGAGCCTACAATCACTGGATACGACAGTCGCGCGGACACCAACCAAGTAGTTTGCATCTACCAACATGGCTCAGACCAGACGTTAGTGATTTCAAGGACTGATGCCACGTTTTGGTTTGGCTGCTCCTAACTTTCTTCTAGCCGTCTCTAAAACTAGTCCATGTTCAGGCATATGTAACACGTGGCCATATAAATGTCTCTACTAGCTTGAAAGCATTAGAAAGGATACGATGATAGATTCGTACATGATTAGCAGTGGTGAGCTCTAAAGACTTAGTAACCTTTCTGTAAAACTGAGTTAAAACTATCCAACCCAAAATTCCTTACCTGTAGTCCACAACAGAGGTGGATATACATTATTAAAGGTCCGCAAATCTGTAGATAGTATGTCAGAGGCCGGATATACAAAGTACTAAAGTGTTCTTAATTAAAATAGTTAAATTCCTGCTTTCCAGGATTAATTTTGATTACAGTTAGTATTCTACCAAAAGAAATAGTGGTTAATAAACCTTTTGATACAAATGGATGTAGCGTAGCGTGAAAATAATTATCAAAATCAGTTTGGACAACTCCACTTCTACATAATTAGACGTAATATCACTACATAAGTAACTACAAGCGCTATTTACTTATCCCACGACATTCTATTTTGATGTAACTGAGATAATCATATGGCTATGATTGATACTTGTCCGGCGCTTTGACAGGATTGGTTGATATAGAGGATCCACCTAAGGGAGTTAGAAAACCCTGATCTCAAACCAATGGTGCACATGGGCTCCAGTATCCTGAGGGAACAAATGACGTATGAACCAATTGTTGGTCACTCGCTACCATAGGACTGCATCTCCCCACGTTGTTCCACTGTTTTGTGGATCAGATGTTTAGGTCAAAGGCTATGGGTGTGGTGCCCAAAGAAAACCACCTGCTTCGGTTTGGGCACGCGTTCAGTATCATAGCCCACACACAAATCAAATGAATTGTGTGGCGCATATGTATTCAGTGCCCCTTTGTATCAATATTTATGTGTTCAAATAAAGAAATATACTTAACATATATTTTAATCTCCTATTCTGACCAAGGATATTAAGAACACGATAATCTGAAGAAAAATATAATCTATCTGATGAGAATTAACATGAGTCAATATACAGTATAATTAACGAAGCATTTTTGAGATTTTATTATAGATCCATGTTACTTCTAAATAACCTCAAATTATCTCACCTCTATCTGTTTTTACGTATATTTCTGAGTGATTGTGCAGGACTCAAAAAATCCTATGGCTGACTAAATGACGACCGGAGGCTGCAGTTCGTTTACCTTCGGTAAACAATAAGTAGTTTTAAATACATATGCAACCAAAATATGTACAAGTTTCAAACGTCAGAACATGTTAAATTAATAACAAATAAGAGCGAAATATAAGTCTTAGTCATTAAACCAAGTACATGATAGTCTAGGTTAATATAAGTGGTTAGATTTGAAATAACATCAAGTTTATTGCGTCTGATTTTAATATGACGTCAAACAAATGACCACAATAAAATTTCACTAACCCCTTCAGAATCACTTTCATCCGTTACATATTCTAACGACTGGTTTACTTGCCACGCACACTTACGACGAACTTCCAACCTCGCTTTGCACTTTCTGTACCAACACTGAATTATCACAGCAGCTTGAAGAGCTAAAATAATGATAAGTTATAGTACATTCTCTAGTTCATTAACATATATTATCAATCCTAGGATTCTAAACTAGCACATGCAAACATTTTGGATACTGCACTACATTGACTACTAAGAAATAATAAGTATATGTCCGAATTTTTGACCTGCGATCATACTAGGAGGAAGTTAAATGCTTAAAAAACCTACTTCGCCAAAATAAATTTGATAAAAGTTAGTATCAAATGTTAGTGAACAGTAAGCCAACTATTTCAGTAGCTAAAAGTCAATTACTTCATTTAATTGTGAGTCTACAGCTTTCACTGAGAATACTCAGGATTTAATGCTGCAGATGTCAGTTCCGTCGAAATCTGATACCTGATGTTGAAATCCTACAATCTGAATACCCAAAATGGAAATCAAAGGATAAATGAGAAGGTAGACTTTAGTCATATCTACAGGTTGTCGCTATTATATACAACGGGTAGGACGATGGTTTAGTAGTTAAAGGTTTCAGGTTAGAACCCCATTTCACCTATTTCGGTCCAGTGAGCTAGGCAGAATCATTAGTTCTCCAAAAAAATGGCTCAATGTTAAGAACATGGAATTCGCTCTCAGGAAATAAGTTAAACTAAGATATATGATGAACTTAATATCTAGAGTTATTTTACGCCGAACGTTACCACCTATAAGTATCCGAAATAGAGATTGAAGTGAATTGAAAAGTACTTAACTTGTAATACAGGTATGTTCTTGTAGTTTCGGTTACTATGTTAAGCCCACATAACTTATTCTAGTTTCTGGACGAGCCAATTTATCCATTCATCTCAAGCTAAATATTTGGACCTTGTTAATTATTTACTTATCAACACTGACCTTTTATATGAGCGTATGTGTGTGTACATTTTATCCCATTCATCACACGTCTGTAGCTTATTTCTGTGTGACTATAAATATTGATTAACGCTTGATTAAATCGAGTTGGTCCACATGCCTTCTCCACCGCGCATCATTTCGTTTCACCTCGTTCCTTTGATCGTCTAGATCAATGATTGTACAAAATATACGTATTCGAAATCCTTTCTCGTATTTGACTTATTTTAATTCCATTATTCACTAGCGCGAGTTATGTCGATAATTATATACGAGGATAACCAGGATGTATATTTTAACAACAATCATTCATACGGTCTAAATGGAGTCAGATATTGAGCCACTAAATTCTAAAATGGTCTAGGGTGAACTATAATGGATTAGATCGTCGTCCTTTGTCAACCTGTCACAGTTGTCAGTCATAGTGTCCAGTAAGTTTTTTCGATGTCTTACTTCGATGTTTTTTTCTCACAAAACCTACGATTCAAACATAAATAAACGGTGAAGAACTAGACGAGTGATAGGCTTAATTGTTATCGACTGTAAACCGTAATTCTCGAGCAAATGGTAGGCAAGTTTCAGATTTACAAAAAGCGTGTGACGTATAAATCTATATTAGGAACTAATATTACAATCGACTGAGACGCCCGATAACTTTGTTGTTTCAAGATTTTCTAATCAAAAGCCACTTCTGAATGCAACTGCGTGTGAACACCTTGTAGCATGTATATAACTGAAATATATAAATTGGAGAGACAAGTGTTTAAGGCAACTTGCATCACAACGTTTGTGTGGTGCATATTCTAGTCCAGATGTTTTGCAAAATTGTGTAGCTTACCTGAGTGATACGTAAAAACTACATTACTTCAAATCGATCCACTACTATACTAAATCTGTATAGCTTACCACGGAATTATATATATATATATATATATATATATATATATATATATATATATATATATATATATATATATACAAACGAAATAGGATACTATATGAAACAATTTCGGGTCGTCGTGTAAGGTAAATTTCCTAGCGGATATACGTCGCTCAAAAAAATGCTTAATGATATTAGTTGCTTCTAAAGCAATCAGTCCCATTTACAGAGTTTAATAGTGTAATTAAATAGAATTGATTTCAATATTTCGAAGAGTTAACTCTGTTTTCATAAATAAAGCTCTTGTGAAATAAGTGTGACCATACTGTTCCAAATGTGTTGTGCGAACTTCATCCAAACACATTATCGAAAGATATTAGATACACATTGTAAGCATACCCCCACGAAACAGTAATATCTTGCATTACATATGTACATAATGGTTAGTTGAATATGATACGCACTTACATAACCTTTGGTCAACATCAACAATCTTTTCTTTCCTTCCAAACATCATAAAAAATCAACAGTTCATAGTCCCATAACATGCGTTATATGATTGCACTTTTTAGACTCCCAGTAATAGGCAAGCTAACTAATATAACCAAATTGCAATAAAGTGCTTTGTTGGTGAGCTGTAAAATAAAAGACGGTCATACAACATAAGATAAAAATTGTATTGTTTATAATATAACTGAACTAAGGTGTGGGTGAATGGCTAGTAAGATATCAAAGCAAAACGTCTTTTCTGTTATCACATGTCGATAGGGTATATTTGCAACAGTGATGCTTCATATCGATCTACAACACAAACAATACACAATGGGTGCGAACCGTACAGATATTTATTTAATCCCCGACACTTCTATACACTGCATGTAAGTGACTACGTTTAGATATAATCATCAACAGAGAGTCCTTTTCGGAAAATTATAGACAAGAAATTTTATTTTATCCCACAAAGTTTACAGTAAACATAATAGTGCATATGATATCCATAGGTTCTAAACGAGTCCCAAGATGTTTAACTTCATGCCTTTTTAAAACAGTTCATATCTGGTTCAACCAGACCCACCTAATGAACTAAGTTGTCGTGTCACTACACATTATTCAGTAGGAAACAAGTTGAAAGGGTGTTTAATGAGAATAAGACATCAAAAAGCTAGCATGAGAATTCCTAGCAGTGTCCTTCGAATAGGGACAAGAAGCCGATTTTTTTTATAATGACGGCTTCATCCTCTAAATATGATTGCTATTATGTGGGATTACAGAAGCCAAGCGGAAAATACCGTGTGATAATAATCCAAGTTTACATTTTAGACACGTTTATAAAGAACATATGGGGGGCAACTAGATTACAAAATTGGAACTATGAAGAGTTTGGCCTCATGTTTAGTTTTAATTCGACCTACGTTCAATGAATGGAGGAAGAAATCAGGAAGAAGCGCTGGAAGTGGATAGGACACACATTGAGGAAAGCACCCAACTGCGTCACAAGACAAGCTCACATGGAATCCTCAAGGCCAAAGGAAAAGAGGAAGACCAAAGAACACATTACGCCGGGAAATGGAAATAGACATGAGAAAAATGAACAAGAATTGGATGGAACTAGAAAAGAAGGCCCAGGACAGAGTGAGTTGGAGAATGCTGGTCGGCGGCCTATGCTCCATCAGGAGTAACGGGCGTAAGCAGATAAAAGTAGGTACATTCAATGGATATAATCCTAACTCTTGTGATTTCAATTCATATCTAATTCATCTGTAGTTAACAACTCGAGTACTTGAGATCTGACAACTTTATGGATTATTTAAGAAGTCAATACGAGGATATTACGCAAATACAGTAATCAACACAGACATGTCGAATTCACACAAGCGTATACCCCCAGATGCCCTGGTACGACCAAAAATGGGAAGGGCGCTCTTCCTCTCGAAACGTTCTCATATAGCCGCGCGTATACAACCACTGCCAGGTAAGTCCTACTCAGCGCCTTCTCGTGGCAGGGGTGCCGTTTACGAAGTTGAGAGGACGAAAAGCGAATGTCCGGCGCTTTAACCGGATCACAAACCAATGGTGCACATGGGCTCCAGTATCCTGCGGGAACAAATGGCATATGAACCAATCGTTGGTCACCGGCTACCATGGGATCGCATCTCCTTACGATGCTCCACTGCCTTGTGGGTTAGACTTTAGGTCAAAGGCTCGGGGAGTGGCCCCCTAAGATAACCACCTGCTTCGGTTTGGGCACCTGGGCAGTATCACAGCCCACACACAAAAATCATGAACTGCCTATAATTATGGAAACTACTTTACTTGCTTCAACTAACAATCTAATTATTATTATTATTATTATTTACCACATTATTCACCCTCTTTTATACTTATACAGCGGCTCGTCTTTGGTGGAAATTCGACTGTATCTAAACGTTCTCGAGTCACTGTCCGGTTGAAAATTGTATGTTACCACCGAATATGAGTACTGAAGCAGTTTTTCTGAAACCACGTGCACCATTCAAACTGGCTGCCTTCAACGTTCGCACACTTATGCAGGTTGGACAACAGATGAGGCTGGCTTTGTCTTTGGAAAGTCTTCATATCGATGTCTGCTGTCTATCCGAGACCCATATTCAAGACTCTGGTGAAGTACTACAAATTCGCTCTCCATCTATCACTTCAAAAGGCTTGTTTTACGTGCGTTTGTCCGGACACCCTGTGGCATCTTCGTCTGGTCGTGCTGGCGTTAGTGTCGCACTAAGCGCTAGAGCTGAGGCGGCACTAATCGATTGGATCCCCATTAATAGTCGGTTATGTGCTGTTAGATTAGGAAATTCCGTCAAAGTGAGAAGAAATCGGCATGACAAACGACGTTTTTTCGTCATCTCCGCCTACGCGCCGACAGATTGCAGCCCGGATGCAATCAAGGATGATTTTTACCACCAATTATCTCTTCTTCTCCAGAAAGTGCGTTCGACAGATATTGTAGTACTAGCCGGAGACTTGAATGCTCAGGTCGGGTGTCTAGGCACAAAAGAGGGTCGTTTAGGTGGCCGATGGGGACTCGTTGGTCGCAGGTCAGATAACGGGGACGGGTACCGTCTACTGCAACTGTGCACAGACCACAACCTGCATCTGGTAACTACCGGAAGCTCTTCCAACTCATCCGAGCCACTGGCAGCAAGAAGTCTGGTGTGAGTGAAACAATCTGTGAGGATGATGGGATGCCAATCACTAACATCCATCGACGTCTTGGACGATTTGCAGAATTCTTCTAAGGACAGTTCAACTGGCCTGCTACTCCGGCGACATTGGTCAGACTGTCCTGCCTCCCATGGCCGGTGACGACTGATCCACCAAGTGAAGCGGAATTCAGCAAGAAACTCCAACTTTTGGAGCGCTACAAAATACCGGGCACAGATGACTTACCTCCGGCTCTTTTTAAAGATGGTGGTGACTTTTTGACTAAGGAATTGACGACGTTGTTTACAAAGGTTTGGGAACTAGAGGGTGTACCAACGTCATGGAATGAGTTGATAGTTGTCCCTATCTTTAAAAAGGGTCCACGTCGTTCCTGTAACAACTATCGGGGGATAAGTCTACTTCCGATTGTGTCCAAGCTATTGGCTTCCGTCATACTTCGTAGGTTGTTCAAAACCCGAGAAAGATTGACTCGCGAGGAGCAGGCTGGGTTTCGTTCTGGTCGAGGATGTATTGATCATATCTTCATCCTCCGCCAAATGTTAGAACACCATCATACTTATCAAAGGCTAACAATCGTAGTATTTCTTGACATTAGGGCCGCCTTCGATTCGTTGGACAGAACTGTTCTCTGGGATTGTCTATTGAAGAAGGGTGTGTCTGAGAAGTTTACTAACATCCTAAAAGCCCTATATACAAACACCTCAGACAGAGTGAGGGCATACAACCACCTCTCTCCATTGTTCCATTCGAGCAGTGGGGTTAGGCAGGGTTGTCCAATCTCATCATTCCTCTTCAACTTTGCCATCAATGACATTCTGGAAACAGCTCTGATGGATGTAAGTAATGGTGGTGTGGATCTGTTGCCTGGAGAAAGACTTCTCGACCTTGAGTATGTGGATGATATTGTCTTACTGTGCGATAATGCCCAAGCAATGCAATCCGCAATTAATCAGTTGGCAATCGTTGTCCGTAGGTACGGTATGTGCTTTGCACCTTCGAAGTGCAAAGTACTTCTACAAGACTGGCAGGATTCTAACCCTGTACTCACGCTGGATGGTGAGCAGATAGAAGTAGTCGAGAAGTTCGTGTATCTGGGTAGCTGCATAAGTGCTGGTGGTGGCGTGAGTGATGACATCAATGCACGTATAGTGAAAGCCAGAGCGGCTTATGCCGATCTGGGCCACCTTCGGCGTCTTCGTGATGTTAGTCTGGCTGTAAAAGGTCGGATCTACAACGCGTCAGTGAGAGCAGTTTTGCTCTATGCTTGTGAAACCTGGTCTCTCCGAGTTGAGGACGTTAGGCGACTCTTTGTGTTCGATCATCGCTGTCTCTGAAGGATTGCTGGCATCCAGTGGCAACACCATATCAGTAATGCAGAGGTTCGGCATTGTGTGTTCGGGCACAGAGATGATAATTCAATTGGTGTCACCATCTTGAAACACCGACTTCGGTGGCTTGGACATGTTCTCCGAATGTCTTCCCAGAGAATTCCACGTCGTGCATTATTTGCTGACTCTGGGACTGGTTGGAAGAAGCGGAGAGGTGGTCAGTGCATGACATGGTGTCGTGGCATGAAAGAAAGCTGCAAAGGACTGGCTTGTGTTGGTCCTTTATGACTTCCTGGTTGGGGTCCTAGAGATGGTCCAACACAGTGGCTAGAGACGTTATCAGATATGGCTCAGAATAGAAGCCAGTGGCGATCCTGCTGTAACCTTCTTTAACTTTCTTCATAAAAAGTGGTTGTGTCTCCCTTACCTGAAAGATTTCTTCTGATTGTACCTTAGCTTTTTTTCTATTTCTCTTCGAATTCTCATTGTTTTGTGTGGCGCATATATATTGGCGCTCTCTTGTACCAATATTCATGTGTTCAAATAAATAATAAGGGAGTTAGAAAACCCTGATCTCAAACCAATGGTGCACATGGGCTCCAGTATCCTGAGGGAACAAATGACGTATGAACCAATTGTTGGTCACTCGCTACCATAGGACTGCATCTCCCCACGTTGTTCCACTGTTTTGTGGATCAGATGTTTAGGTCAAAGGCTATGGGTGTGGTGCCCAAAGAAAACCACCTGCTTCGGTTTGGGCACGCGTGCAACATCATAGCCCTAACACAATTAAAATGAAATGGCAATGATTATTGGCATACCCGCTACAAAATACAATTATGAGCACTTTGTATATTGTCATGCACCCAATCCGAAGTACAATGCTGAATTCTTTCTGACTTAAGTGCTGGTACAGCCGTGATTATTAGACTGTTCTAGAAACCCCTGGTTTGTAACCTCGTCTACTTTTACTTATTAGTTTATTAATCTATTCATAAGCATTGCACCTATTTGTACAACTAGTTATGTCTTCATCTGTACAATATGTGTTTGTTTATCTTCTTATCAATCTTACTATGTCATTTTTCTGATCTGTATTAATTGAGATACTTCAACTACTCAACACTTCATAAACATTCACCTTATACATTACACTTCATTTTAATCCAACTCAAATTAAACCTGTGGGATACGACCTTGGTCTATTATAATTTGGCTACCAGTGCTGGACACTGACGAGCAATCCCTTTTCTATATAGTTACTCATAATGCTAGTACCAATGCAATTGGCATTCCAATACAATCATAGAAAGCTTTGATCACAGAGTCGACCCAATATTTTTACTTCACTAGTCTAACTTGCTGTCAGTTTATTACCATTCCACTTCGATTCTATGTACAATTAGCGTACGGATCAATCTGTTTAATTATTCAAACATACATCAAGTAATATAACTATTCAAGTTTTCAGTCAATTTGTCTGTTTTAAGTCACACAGGATAACAACACGAACGCAACAATAACCAAGAAAATACTCACAAACGTGATCAATAAATAAAAACTTACTGTTGAACAGCTACGAACTAACAATTTCAAAACTCCCTCCTATTTACTTTATATGTATCATCAGTACAAATAGATTCATATTCGTACTTTGAGTGAAGAGCAGAGAGTCAAGCTACAAATCTTCCAGGCTGTTTCTTCGTGTACTTATTTCACCCTTGGATATGTCGAGCGAAGACGTAGACACTTATACCAAAAGGTTTTTATTGTTGACTATATTTTTGTTGTGTCTTTGGTTGTTCTGGCCTAGTTAGGAAGAAAAGAGAAGGCATATTCCGTGATTTTAAGGTACAATGGCGTGAACAGATCCAAGTCACAAAGCCGCTCATCACAAACTTCAATGCATCTAGAGTTGAATGAGTAGCGACTATCTTATCCTTTAACAGGTAATTTGATTAACCTTTAATAGCGGCAAATAAATCCCCAAAATAAATAGCTCTGTAAGTTTTCGATATTGGATGCTGACCACATTAGTTTTAACGGACTCACCTAGCTGAAGGCACTCGGCCAAGCATCCGCACCAGATCACGAGTGGGAACGCCATGCTCAACATCCCATGCAATAGCTAGCCGGATTAGATCAGACGACCCTCGATATATTGATAGCCTATCAAATATATCTTTGAACCTCCTCGCTTCTGTCTTTTGTTTTCACTTGGTGGGTACGATTTATATTAGGTGTTACTGGTTAAAGCCTTGTCAAACTCAAAATACCTGTGGCATCTTCACTTTCAAACTATGAATTATGCCCTATACACGGTCTCCGAACTTTAGTCTCACTGTTGTATTGAACATGTATTCATTTAAATTTGCGAATGTCTATAGATTTCAGTTTTTGTGATCTCAACCCTACCTAAATAATTTCATTTTTAGGATAATAGATAAACCATCATGATCTCTTTGGGCTATTCTGTATTCTCACATAGTCAACCTCTTCAATTATTAACTTGAAGCATTGTGAGTCTTTATTTACGTACTCGCATGTGTATATTCCACTACGTGTATTTCATGCATTGTCTGTTTCAACATACAAAACATTATTCACACTAAATACGTCTGACGCTTGGGTTATTCGATCTCCGTATTCATTCTTATCACTCTCTTGTGCTCCACATAGATATAAAAAATGTCCGGGCAACAAATATAGCTGACATCTATATTTTTTAAGTTTTGTATTGAAATGAATAGTGAATAGATATCCTAAGTTATATGGGATCTATTTTTCCATGGCCGCCAAATGTCCTGGAACGTGCGAGGACGGAATGAGCCTCCTCTCCCTTTCGAAATGCTTTAATATGGCTACGCAGACGTAGCAGACGGGCTGCAAGATCCTGAGGAGATAAATGGCTCAAAAACCTGTTCTTGATATCCATTTACCGTGATACCGAACCTTCTAATGTTGCCTCACTCCTTGGTGGACTACGTCTCCAGGTCGAAGACTTGGAACCTGGGCAATAACATGTGTATTCCAAAGGGAAGAAGTTTTCCCGAGTTTTTGATCTGTATTTCTCAACTTTGACAGTGGATAATTTGTCCCGATGGTCGTATTTATGTGAATCTCGGGCAAGAACTATCTTACATGGTGAATAAGTAAGGTTTTTGAGGAGTTTAAATTAGAGAATCAAATTGGATCTGAGCCTTATTTTCCAAAGGGGTTCTAGTCCTAAGATATGGCATCGGGAACTGCAATCAGTGAATGAGTCATTCTTAAGTATTTTGCGAGTGAAATCTCGTTGTATTCCTTACACATTAAGCATATCGGATAGGCGTGGGTTGGAAAATAAGAACGAATAGTATTCAACGATGGGTCGTACACAGACTTTATAAAGAATGATTTTAGATTCATTTAGAAAGAAATTACGGAGAATGAAGCCAAGCAATTCTCTCACTTTAGATGCTTTAGTTTAGATATGTTCAGAGAAGTTAAGACTGTGAGTAATGTACCCCTAGGTCAGTTACTGATGTCACTCTGGGCAGTGTGTTCTTGTTAAGTGCTAGTTATATTTTAAGAGACGTATCTTCAGCACATAGCCAGCTGCATTTCTCTGTGTTGAACTCTAACATCCAGTGTTTGCACCAGTTGTCTACCATACTGAATTCATGCCGGATTGTTTGCATAGTATAACGTACATCGCAAATGTCAGTTTTATAAATGACTTTTAAGTCATCGGCAAAGAGGTAGGTCTTACCTGTGCTAAAGCACCCGCACATATTGTTGATGTAGATTACAAAGAGCAATGGACACAAGACACTACTCTGCACAACACTGGTTATTGGTCGAAGTGTAGATGTTGTACAGTTAATCTTGGTTATTTGGTATCTATTTGTCAGAAAAGACATGATCCATTGCATAAGGTGGTTTGTGATTCCAACTGACTGAAGTCTGTTGATTAGACGGTTATGAGATACTTTATCAAAGACTTTCTTAATATCGAAATATAGTATAACCACTAGTTTCTTTTCGTCACGTATGTGAGTTACTTCGTTAAAGAAGTCTATCAGACATGTACTTCAGGACCTTGATCTAATGAAGTCATGTTGTGACGGGTCCATTAGATCTTGATTTTGTATCACTTTTTCCATTATGCGTGATATAACTGGAGTGATATTTGTAGATCTATAGTTTTCAACCCTGTTTCTGTGTCCTGATTCGTGTTTGAGAAGAACATACGTTACCTTCCAGGTCTCGGAATATGTACCTGCCCCTAAAGATAATGTGTATATTGTGAGTAATAGCGTCTGTATGTCCGGTCCTGACACTTTATAAACGACTGGTGGCATGTCATCGGCACCTGAACTCTCATTCGGCTTAAGAGTTTTGAGGGCGGTATGTATAGTCCCAATATCAAAACTTATGGCGCTAAGATAATTTTCGCTGATGCACTTGATGTCAATATCTGGGGTACGAGATGTGTATCCATTGCGATTAAACCATCCCCTTAACAGCTCACATATGACGGTTTAGTCATAATACGTCACACCATAGTGCAGTTAGGAGTGAATTTTGTGATCTGCGTTCTTTCATATGTTGGATTAGATATTCTACTGAGACAACCTATAACGTGCTAACACGGACTTTTACATTGGGACTATGTGGCAGGCATCGGATGGAAAAAAATAAGATCAGACAATAAAAGACATAATTATTAGTTTTCTAAACACTTTACTCTCTATATGCACTTTCCGTTCTAATAAACAGCCTTCCTTATTCCAACCTTGACTTCCCTCCCTTCATTTGAAATTACACCACCTTGGTAAATATCACAACTGACTGTTCTTTATTACTGCGTTCTCCCATCTAGAGGCTCTAATCACAATTCATTCTAGCAACATGAGCCAATATGAATTTACTCTAATAATTTATCATACCTCCATATGTCCCACTAAAAAATGTCAAGCATTGTTTAGCGTTCATATCCAAGTGCCTTGCTGCTCCTCTGTTTCTCTTTTTTTCAGGATTTTGCTCTGGGGGCACAGCTATGGAACTTTTGACATCTGAAACAAACTTGACGTACGTGTTTCCCAAGGTCACAGTTCACACCAAATGCTCTACAAGTCTACTTTATAACGACTATAAACTTAAAATTTGCATTGCATAAATACTTAGCACGACCGAAATTCTAAAATTATTATGCCGAGATCGGATCTGGTGTGTAATGTGGTCGCCAATGTCACTTTGGAAAATATTTTAAGGACTACTCAGTATATCTTCTTGAATGAACTGATATTCGTTTTTATAAATTATATTTATTTAACAACCCTATTGTGAGCCAATAAATGTTGTAATGTGTATACCATACCTGCGAAAATGGCGTGTACCTGCCCTTGCATATATATATTTTATTATTATTATCGAAATGGGTTGAATATCAATATATATTCAGTGTATTCTCGATGAGGTCTATCGCCGTGTTCTTTTTTCTCAACAGCGCGCGCTACGGACTGAACGTTACTTTCAGGCCGAGGCCTTCAGTTTTCTTCTTCCAGGATTCTTGTGGAGCTGGATATATTGTTTTTTTGGAATCATGGAAGATAACTCAATCCTGAACTATTAACATATAAACTGTGAATTTCATGCCATATGATAAAATCTGAGTTTAACTTATTCACGGTATATATGATAATGTTCATACAATAATTCATAATCATGTACATACATATATTCATTTTGGCTGTTCGATCAAATCATGCTGTCATTTTTAAAACCATATATAATCATATTCGACAAAGAATTGCATTTCATATCTGCATTTTATTCCCTAAGAAATGTAGTTATATCGTGTTTGGATGCTATAATCTACGTACTTTAGGTACTTACGGGATCTATTCAGACCTCTACTCAATATCAAGAAATATATACTATCGTGTATGATAAGGAACTGTACTCACTATTCTATAAACTATCATTTAAATAGTATTTGGATACTATAACTCATTTAATTTCCGAAATTATCTGTCCAATTCGGTGAGTCTGTCATAGTTTTTTGACAGCACTTTTATCCAAAAGGCTGTTTCATATATTTGTTCATAAAGCAACATAATAAACTTAGACTGTAATAACTTTTTAAACCACTTATCTCTGCACCTCGGAATTTTTACTTTTATGGACTTTCACTTTATATGTATCCAAATACCGTAATTATTTTGATTGTTTGACACTAATTATCGACATTTCTAGACTACTTTATTATATAAGGCTATCTTTCCGTGTTATAAATATGTTAAAATTTACACAACGTACTCCTTTATGTTCTATTTTGCCTCCACACAGATACTGACATAAATACTTCATCTCCACTACTATCTTCCTGCCATTCTCATCTCTTGTTTTCGACACCATCACTAATCCACGCGATACATTCTCTCTTGGTTAAAACATAGGTTTTGATTTCTAGACTAACTTGAGCCCTCGGCACTGATTTTATCACCCATTTCTATTTCCAACATTTTGTTCAATCCATCTGCTTTTCGTCACGTTCTTATCATGCCACAAAAGAAAATGAAGACCCTTGATTCTGGGCGTCCAACCAAACGTGGGAAA